ATTAATTTGCCCTGGAGCAATGCTCCCTCTAAGCTGTGGAGTCCAGTGAGCAAAAACGTCTACTTGGTGAGCTCCTGGCATGAAAGTGGTGAGCGAGCGACTTGGCTGCTGCATGAATTAGTCTGCTCTGGAGCAATGCTCCCTCTAAGCTGTGGAGTCCAGTGAGCAAGAATCCTACTTGGTGAGCTGCTGCCATTAAAGCTGTAAGCGAGCGACTTGGCTGCTGCATGAATTAGTTTGCCCTGGAGCAATGCTCCCTCTAAGCTGTGGAGTCCAGTGAGCAAAACTTCGACTTGGTGAGCTCCTGGCATGAAAGTTGTGAGCGAGCCATTTGGCTGCTGCATGAATTAATTTGCCCTGGAGCAATGCTCCCTCTAAGCTGTGGAGTCCAGTGAGCAAGAATCCTACTTGGTGAGCTGCTGCCATTAAAGCTGTAAGCGAGCGACTTGGCTGCTGCATGAATTAATTTGCCCTGGAGCAATGCTCCCTCTAAGCTGTGGAGTCCAGTGAGCAAAACTTCTACTTGGTGAGCTGTTGGTCTCTCAGTGGTTACTAGCCATGATGACTAAGGGGAACCTCCATGTTCAGAGGCAGTCAACCCCTGAATCCCAGTGACAGTGTTCCCTCTAAGCTGTGGGGTCTTGTGAGACAAAACTACTTTGTGAGCTCCTGGCATTAAAGCTGTGAGCTTTATTGGCTGCTGCTTAAATTAGCTTGCTCTGGGGCCCTCCTTCCTGAGCCGAGACAAAAATGGGTGAGCCGGAGGCTGAAAAACGGTGAGCTGGCTCACACTCACTCAGCTTAGAGGAAACACTGCAGAGTCCCCTGGGTCCTGTGTCGTTGAGGTCCAACACGTGCGGGTGGGCTCAGGAGTGCCACCTCGGGAGCATTGCTGGTGGAGACCCAGCTCTGGCCGTTGCCAGCCGTGCACCTCCCTCCCTCTCAGCTGTGGAGTCCTGGGAGCATAGGGTTGCCAGCTTCCAGGTGGGGCCTGGGGATCTCCCGCTTTTACAACTGATCCCCAGCCGACAGAGATTACCTCCCCTGGAGAAAATGGATGCTTTGAAGGGGGGACTCTATGGCATTGTATTAATGTTGAGGCCCCTCCCCAAACCACACCCTCTCCTGGCTCCACCCCCCAAAGTCTCCAGGTATTTTCCAGCCCAGACTTGGCAACCCTATGTGAGCAGAAATCCCACTTGGTGAGCTCCTCCTGGGCATGAAAAGCGGTGAGCGGGCGATGGATGGCCGCGGCATAGATTAGTCTGCTCCGGAGCCCTCCTGCCTGAGCGGAGCCAAATAACGCGCGAGCCGGAGGCTAAAAAAAGTGCGAGCTGGCTCACGCTCCCTCGGCTTAGAGGGAATGTTGCCGAGCCCACCCTCCCAAGCAAGGCTCCCTCTAAGCTCTGGAGTCCTGTGAGCAAAAATTCTACTCTGTGAGTGCCTGGCATGAAAGTGGCAGCCCACCCTCCCAAGCAAAGCTCCCTCTAAGCTCTGGAGTCCTGTGAGCAAACATTCTACTTGGTGAGCGCCTGGCATGAAAGTGGCA